ACTTCTATAACCAATGGTTCCAGATTATCTGGAAATTTTTCTGAAATGACAGAGACACATATTGTACAGTATCTGGTTTTAACTTTTGTCCTTGAATAGATGTTGCTGTTGTGTAAAGTATTCATGAAGTACATCACTGTCCCAGATAACTGAGTCTTTATCTCTGGGTCATATTCAAGTCAGCTCCCACAAGCCCCCTTCTCTCCAGGCTCCATGTCTGTGAGCCGTGTGGTTAACCAGACTGTCTATACCATCCTGACTAGTTGATGGCTCACCATGGTGATGCTTACCACAGAAATGTAATAACCGTGTCTTTCAGCTGCAGAGAGAAAAGAGGGGGGTGGGGGAAATGCATGCATTTTCTTCAGTGAAAAGAAGTAGAAACTCTCATCTTGAATAATGTTTGTGTAACACAAACATTCCCTTTGGAGACTCTTCCTCTTTTTTTTAAGACCTTTTGACTACGTCATAAACAAGACGGAGAGACAACCCTCAGAATAGAAGAAAATGTTTGCAAATGAAGGAACTGACAAAGGATTCATCTCCAAAATATACAAGCATGCATGCAGCTCAATATCAAAAAAACAAACAACCTAATTTTTAAAAAGTGGACCAAAGACCTAAACAGACATTTCTCCAGAGAAGACATACAGATGACCAATAAACACACGGAAAGATGTTCAACATAGCTCAGTATTAGAGAAATGTAAATCAAAACTACTATGAGGCATCCCCTCACACCAAGTCAGAATGACCATCATCAAAAAATCTACAAACAACACATGCTGGAGAGGGGGTGGAGAAAAGGGAACCCTCTAGCACTGCTGGTGGAAATGTAAATTGACACAACCACAATGGAGAACAGTATGAGATTCCTTAAAAAATAAAAATAAAACTACCATGTGACCCAGCAATCCCATTACTGGGCATAGATCCTGAGGAAACCATAATTCAAAAAGACACATGTCTCCCAATGTTCATTGCAGCACTATTTACATAGCCAGGACATTGACAGAGAAACGGATAAAGTTGTGGTACACATATACAGTAGAATATTACTCAGCCATGAAAAGGAACGAAATTGGGTCATTTGTAGTGATGTCGATGGAATTAGAGTCTGTCATATATAAGTAAGTCAGAGACAGAAATAAATATCATAGATTAGCGCATATGTATGGAATCTAGAAAAATGGTACCCAGGAGCCGCAGGAATAGAGACACAGATGTAGAGAATAGACATGTGGTCACAGTGGGGCAGGGGGACAGGAAGGGTCATACTAATTGTGAGGATAGCACTGACATATATATTCTTGTTGTTCAGTCACTAATTCGTGTTTGACTCTTGCAACCCCATGGACTGTAGCCCACTGGGCTCCTCTGTACACGAGATTTCCAGGCAAGAACACTGGTGTGGGTTGCCATTTCCTTCTCCAGGGGATGTTCCCAGACCAGGGATTGAACCATTGTCCCCTACATTGACTGGCGGATTCTTCACCATTGCGCTACCAAGGAAGCCCTGTATATACACACTGCTGCCACTGCTGCTAAGTCACTTCAGTCCTGTCCGACTCTGTGCGACCCCATAGACGGCAGCCCACCGGGCTCCACCACCCCTGGGATTCTCCAGGCGAGAACACTGGAGTGAGTTGCCATTTCCTTCTCCAGTGCATGAAAGTGAAAAGTGAAAGTGAAGTCGTTCAGTCGTGTCCAACTCTTCGCGACTCCATGGACTGCAGCCTACCAGGCTCCTCCATCCATGGGATTTTCCAGGCAAGAGTACCGGAGTGGGGTGCCATTGCCTCCTCCACTACCACGTGTAAAATAGACAGCTAGTGGGAAGCTGCTGTATATGGCATAGGGAGCTCAGCTCAGTGCTGTGTGATGACTCAGATGGGTGTGATTTGGGGGGAGGGGATAGTGTCATGAGGGAGGGGATATATGTATACATACAGTTGAGTCACTTCATTGTACAGCAGAAATTAACACAACATTGTAAATCAATTATACTACACTTTTTAAAAAGACCCTTTGCCTGTTCTCAGCCTCAGCTCCAAGTTCAGGGCTAAAGAAAATTCAAACAGGGAAAACCTGGCTCTACTGCTAGAAGAGAAATATTCCACAGTCATTCATTGCTCAACTTGAAATACTCCTGACCTGTTACTATAGTTGTAATTTTTCCAAATTTCTTCACACTGGAGATCAGCAAGTTCAAATAGGTTCTAAATAAAAAAGGGTGAAAGAGAGAGGAAAGGAGGACAGAGAGAAGGAAGGAAGGAAAGAAAGAAGACAGGGAGCAGGGAAAGGTAGGAAAGTGAAGCTGCTCAGTCGTGTCTGACTGTGTCTTTGCGACCCCCATGGACTGTAGCTACCGGGCTCCTCAGTCCATGGAATTTTCCAGGCAAGAGTGCTGGAGTGGGTTGCCATTTCCTTCTCCAGGGGATCTTCCCAGACCCAGGGATCGAACCCGGGTCTCCCGCATTGCAGGCAGACGCTCTACCGTCTGAGCCGCCAAGGAAGCGGGGAAAGGTAGAGGGAGGGACGAAAGAGGAAAAGAAGGAAGGAAAAAGAGTTCCTATGGAGAAGATACTGCCCAACATACATTTCTAAATGATCGGTTTTAATTACTCCTGCTGAATGTTCAGAAATGACTAAAAAAATCAATGAGCTTAATCTCCCACATTTATGGTGGTAGCAGCACATATTAGAAAATTGGGTGTATCCATCATAAGCGTGACTTGGCCACCACATCCTTCCACTCTCTCCTCCCGAATCAAGTCAGTAGAAATCAAATCTCAGAGGTGCTTTTCATGCCTCATCATACAGAGTGGTTTTTAATGCGCAAGTATATGTGATTGACCATATATTGTTTTATAGCATGAAATTTAACCAAACATAGAACTAAACAAGGTACACTTAAAATACAATGACCCTATCAAGTTGATGTAAATACTATTAAGACATGTATGAAACGCATCACTAACTCTCAGTGATTCACAGAGGCCATGATTCCCGGGGTTTTTGTCACTTGCACAAGTCTGGGGACATCTGTCCAGCAATCCTTGTGTGATACCAAAGTCTATCATTTTCTTCAAAAAGTCAGTCCTACTCTCATTCTCCTCCTGCTTCCTGAACCGAAAGCCTTCAACAGACACACTTATGCTCACTTACAAGCTTTCCTTCTGCCTCAGAGGTAGTATTAGCAGTAGGAGAGAGACAGAGAGACAGAGACGAAGATAGAAAAGCATTTGGTGCCCAAAGGCAAACCTTTCCAGTCAGGTCACATCAGAGCCACCTGGAAGGAGAAAGTGGGTCACAAACAAGATCAGAAGGTGCCTGAGAGCAAAACCTAAGAACCCAGGAGACTGGAAGAATCCAAGATTCCCTCCAGGATTCCCCACAGGGAGGAGGGGAGGGCCCTTTGGCTGACTAAAATTCCAATCTTAGATAATAAAATTGGAAAAAAATTTTAGATAGACAGAAGGACCCCAGGTGACCGAGGTTGTCTTTGCTGACTTTTTCTGTCTTCCTTGCAGACCACAAGCATCACAGTGGAGGGAATGGCACCTTTGTGATCACAGATTCCCCTGTAACTGACACAGGACATGTGTGTGTACCAAGTCTCTTCAGTCGTGTCCAACTCTTTGCAACCCCACGGATGGTAGGCTGCCAGGCTCCTCTGTCCACAGTGATTCTCCAGGCAAGAATACTGGAGTAGGTTGCCATGCTCTCCTCCAGGGAGCTGACACAGTACTAGCCCTTAAAAGGAAGATTTTCAGAGGATGACTAGAAAATGGAATCTACCTTACCAGCTCAATACATCAGCCTCCTAGAGGTGTGTATTTTTAATTTTTCAAGAAAATCCTTAAAGGAGACGTTTCAAAGAGAGGATTTCAGCAAAACACAAAGATATATTTCAGAGGTAGAGTCTCTTCCCATGACCCACAAATCACAGCACAGAGAATGGTCTCTCTTGCTAAGCTTGAGATCCAACCATACCTGACATTCTTGGAGGAATCCCAAGTGAGGATGAGAACAAAGACTGAGAGGCTATGAAAGTGGAGGAAGCAGGTTTTCCTGCAAAACAGCATGCCCAGAAAGACTAACAGCCATCTACCCTACCATGTTGCCTTATCACCCTTTAACCCAGAAAATTCAAAGAGCTGGGTGAAGCCAAAGGATTTCAAAGAATCCTTATATGAAATGTGATTGTCATGCACTGTTTACTTTTATGTGTTTAACCTTGAAAGGCTACAAGTAGAATGAAGGTCATTTGGGAGGCTGAAAATGTAGGTCGAGTTCAAGTTCGTGGAAGGAGCACCCTGCCAACACTGACTTCCTTCCCCTGAGGTTACTGTAAGAAGTTGCCTGTTTCAGTCAGACGCTGAGAAGCCAACTTCAGGTCCCAGAATGCTCTTCATGCGTCTCCCACACACAGATCAGCAGTCAAACTGAAACAGCATCCCTCTGCATCCTTTCAGACCCCCACATGAGTGAGTCAGAGCCATTTCCCAGCCTCCACTTTCTGCTCTCACCAAAGGCATGGTTCAGTAGAACTGGCCCCTGGATAAAGCCAACTGTCCAGAATACACTAAAAAGAGGTCTCAACACCTGAACCTCCATTACTGCTCTGCGGCATGAACATTCGCCAGGAGATTGGAAATGGGTAGACCATGTGCGTGTTAGTCGCCCAGTTATGTACGACACTTTGCGACCCCATAAACTGTACCTCACCAGGCCCCTCTGTCCATGGAATTCTCCAGGCAAGTATACTGGAGTGAGTGGATTGCCAGTCCTTTCTCCAGGGGATCTTCCCTACCCAGATCGAACCCAGGTCTCCTGCATTGTGGGCAGATTCTTAACAGTCTGAACCACCAGGGAAGCCTGGGTGGACTATTATCAATAATTTCTTGAGTGAATGTTCTCCCAGCCTGGAAATACAAGTCTTAATGAGGCTAATCAAACATCCACATTGATGAAAACTTAACCATGCAAGAAAGAAAATGAAGATTCAATTAGTTTCCTATCACTGCTGTAACAATTTACTACATGCTCAGTGGCTGAAAACAGCACACATTTATTCTCTTACAAGTGCACTGGGTCAAAGTCAAGGTGTCAGCAGGGGGTCTGTGTCTGGAGGGGCTGTGCTCCCTCCAGAGGCTCTAGGGGAGAACAGTTTCTTTGCCATTTGCAGCTTCCAGAGCTGCATCCCTCGACTGTGGTCCCTTCCTTCATCTTCAAAGCACATCACTCCAACCTCTTTTATCAGTCACGTCATCACATCACATCATATTTTGTCCTCAAATCTCCCTCTGCCTCCCTCTTATAAGGACATCTGAGATTACATTTAGAGTCCACCACAACAATCCAAGAGAATCTCCCCATCTCAGCCACCTTCACGTGATCAAATCTGCAAAGTCTATTTTGCCATTTAAGGTAACATTCACACATTCCAGGGATTAGAGCATGAATATCTTTGGGACTGTTATTCAACCTACCATTCCATGCAAGAAAGAGTTTCAAAGAAGAAAACAATCAGACACACCCTACAGCATTGTTAACACAACTGAACATAAGATTCTCCTGATTATTTAGGAAATCATATCTAAGTTTTTCCTCATTAAGAATATCAGTGATCACCATATTCTAGGAGCACAGAAATGCTTGTGAATATAGAGTTCTGGAGAATAAATGAAACCAGAAATTCAGCTCTTTGACTTCAGAATAAACTATAAGGTATGGAATCATTTTTGTTCAGTAAGAGTGCCCTAAAATCTTTGAAATCTTAGAGCAAATAGTAGAGAATTTGAGAATTTATTTTCAAGAGGCAAGCAAATTTTTGTTTTGCACTAGATTTATCTTGAAACTGCCTTTTTTTTTTTTCTGAGAAATGCAAACAGTTGGGTCATTTAATTATGCAAATATAAAAGAGAGCAACTTAGGAATTAGAGTTCCTGGGGACTAAATTGATTTTTGTAAAAGGTGAGTTTAAAGGTCATTTATACCGTAGTCAGAGTTCCATTTCTGCAGACTATGTCCTTTGCAAAAAATTCTTATCAGTATTCTGTATTGCTGTGCCCTGTTTTTTTTTAATATACAAATCTGTGTTAGTGAGATTTTAATTAGCACTTGTTGAGATGGCCACAAATGCTGCAAAGATATAAAGGCACAATTTTAAACTCCTGCTGGGAGACAGAACAAAAGATAGAATTGAATTAGGCATAGCTCAGGTTGCCTAGACTCACAAATTTAAGGCTGAATGAACATTTAGAAAGTGTAACAATGCTGGGCTATTGCAATCTGAAATAATTGTTCTTGGGGCCTGACTTGATTACTATGGCCATGTAGTAAATTATCCCTCAAATTTCCTGGTTTAAAGCAACCATTTTAAGTTCAGAGCTAATATTATATTCAATGGTGAGGGGTTGAGAGCTTTTCCTCTAAGATCAGGAACAAGACAAGGGTTCTCACTCTCTTCACTCCCATTCAACATACTACTAGAAGACCTAGTCTGAGTGATCAGGTAAGAAAAAGGAATAGAGGGCATTCAAATTGGAAAGGAAGAAATAAAATTATCTTTGTTTTCAGATGACATGACTTTTTTTAGAGAAAGTCCTAAAGACCCATGAAGTAACCATGCAATCTAATCAACAACTTCAGTAAGACTGCAGGATACAAAATTAACATGAGGAAATCAGTAGTATCTTTATATATGAACAATGAGTTATCTGAAAAAGAAATAAAGACGCAATCTCATTTACAACAGCATCAAAAACAATAAAAGACTTAGAAATAAATTTAGCCAAAGAGGTATAAGATCTGTCACTGAAAGCTATGAGACAATGATGAAAGTAACTAGAGAAAACACAAATAAATAAAATAATATCCTATGTTCATAGATTGGAAGAATTAATATTGTTAAAATTTCCATACTACCCAAAACCATCTATAGTTTTAATGTACTACACATCAAGATTACAACGGAATTTTTATAGAAATAGAAAGCACAATCCTAATATTCATTTGGAACCATAAAAGACATCAAATAGCCAAAGAAATATTGAGGAAGAAGAGCAAAACTGAAGGCATCACACTTGCTGATGTTAAGCTATATTATGAAACCATTGTAATCAAGATGATATAGTATAGACATAATAGGCATACAGACCAATGGAATAGAATCAAAAGCCCTAAATAAACCCCATGCACTTATGATAAAGTAATTGATAAAAGAGCTAAGAATATACTAAATGGAGAAAAGACAGTCTCTTCAATAAATGTTGCTGGGAAAATTGGATATTCACATTCAAAAGAATGAAACTGGACTCCTGTTTTACAGGAGTTGCTCATAAAAATTATCTTAAACTAGATTAAAGCTTAAATGCATTATATTTTTTAAAAAGATTTAAATTTAAGACCTGAAATCATTAAACTCCTAAAAGAAAACATAGGTAAAAAACTCCTTGACATTGATTTTGGCAAGGAACTTTTAGGTATAACACCTAAAACACAAGCAACAAAAGCAAAAATAAATAATAAGTGGGACTACATCAAACTAAAAAACTTTTGCACAATAAAAGAAAAAATCAACAGAATTAAAAAGCAGCTTATGGAATGGGAGAAAATATTTTCAAATCACTTATGTGATAAGGCGTTACTATCCAAAATATATAAGAAACTCATACAACTCAATAACAAAAAAAATCCAATTTAAAAATGGGTAAAGAGCCTTATTGTGTGTTCCTGAACCCCGGTTGCACCATCTGGGGTGGGGGTTTCCCCCACATCTGTATTTAATAATTCTCAGACACAAGCTGGGTGTTGTGTAATTCAACTCAATCCTGACACCACCTACTCCAAGATAGTGATAGATTCCACAAGGCAAGGGTTCAGTCCTACAGGACTCCACCAAACCCTCCCCACAGGTGACCATCACAAGCCCAGGTTGTTACTTGTATTTCTGGCCAACTTGCTACAGATTGGAAGTTCCCATGACCCCCTTGCAGAGTTTGATTAATTTGACAGAGTAGCTCACAGAACTCAGAGAAACATTTTGCTTACTAGATCCCCAGCTTATTATTTAAAAAAAAAAAAGTAACTCAGAAACAGCCAAATGGAAGAGATGTGTAGGTCAAGAGATATGGAAAGGTTGCAGAACTTCCATGCCCTCTCTAGACTCATCACTCTCCCCAAATTTTCACCTGTTCACCAACCCAGAAGTTCTCTGAGCTAGTCCTTTAGGGTCTTTACAGAGGCTTCATTACATAGAATAGACTCAATTTCACAATGTATACATATGCCAAATCATTGTGTTATATACCTTAAACTCATACAATGTTATATGCCAATTATATCTCAAGAAAACTGGAAAAAATTAAACAACCATTTCATTTCAATCACAAAACTTTAAGAAGGGCTTAACCGGGCAGTTTTCTCTTAGGATATCATGAGCAGGATGATTTCCTGGGTACAAAGCCCATACAGTCATATAGGATCCTCAGCTTAAATAGGCGCAGTGCTTGGTTATATTCTTTGATTAACATTCCTAATTTTTTAACCAGAAGTTGTGCACTTTAATTTGTTACTGGGCTCCACAAACCCTGTAGCTGGTCCTGCTCATGAGGTGCCTTCAAATACTGGCTGGGCTTATGGTCCTTTAAATACTGGGTTGGCTAGAGTGAGCAAGATGGCTCCCTCATGTGGCTGTCAACTGGGAGTGCCCTGGGACTGTCAACCAGAGCATCTGTATATGCTGGTGGCTCAGTGGTAAAGAATCTGTCCGTCAATGCAGGAGACGCAGGTTCGATCCCTGGGTCAGGAAGATCCCTGAAGAAGGGAAAGGTTACCCACTCCAGTCTTCTTGCCTGGGAAATCCCATGGTGGGCTACAGTCCATGGGGTCACAAAAAAGTCAGACACAACTTAGGGACTACACAACAACAAAATATACACATCTTCTTCATCCATTCATCTGTTGATGGGCACTTAGGTTGCTTCCATATCTTAGCCATTGTAAATAATGCTGCTATAACCACTGAGATGCAGGTTCAAATTAGTGTTTGGGTTTTTTTCAGATATATCCCCAGGAGTGCAATTGTTGGGTCATATGGTAGCTCCATTTTTGGTTTTTTGAGAAACCTCCATACAGTAACTGTACCCTGTAAAAGTCATTCTCAGATGACAAGAACTTAAATTCATCTAAATTCGCAAACCCAAATCATAGTACTTAGTGGATTTCTCAAAGCTAAGATACACAGAAAAAGAAAAGAGTTGTTTTCTTCTATACTTAATTCTATGTCTGCATGTTTTCAAATACAGTAATCAGAAGTTTGGCATCCCATATGCAGATGTAGTCAAAAGCGAGTGGCTTTCTTAATGGATCTCACTTGAGGTTTGAGGTGACCGCAGAAGGCAATCAGGAGTTTGACAAGTGGTCTGTGGGAAATCAGGGTATTTTTTTCTCACAGATATTGAAAAGCTCAGGAGTGTGGAATAAGCAGATGCCCAGGATTCCAAGAAATTCTAGCCTGATGGATTAGTATTTTCAGAATTTTCCATGAGTGGTGTGTCCCTTCCAGGGAGGCCCATCGCTCTCAGGCCCCACCCCAGCTTCACCACAGGCAGTCCATCCAGAGCTATGCCGCCCAGATCTGGTTTCTGTCAGAATCATGAGAGTGTGGGTTGTGGGAAATGGTTACATGGGTTCTGGTGTTGTCCCCACCACAAACAAGGTCTGGTCCTTGCCTTCAGGCCATGCAAAGGGCTGTGGTGTGTCACCTACAGACACATGTAAGAAAACCACAGAAGTAAGCCAGTGGAGTAGAAAGTCTCTGAGTTTTGCAACAGCCACAACTCCGAACAACTCATAAACCCATCTTTGCCTGGTACATTGATTTACTTGACTTTGAAAAACAAGAATTAAAAGGTGGGAGCATTGATTCACAGCCCTTGCATAAGGAGGTTGTAAGTAAGACTAGTAACAGCTAGTTATAGCAAGAAACTGCTTTATGTTTATTATTTCATTTAATCTATACCACAATCCTATGAGGCAACTATTAGGATCATCCTCATTTTACAGTTGAGGAAACCGAGGCTCAGAGAAGTTAAGTAACTTGCCCAATGTAGGCTACAGTGAACATTTGGGCCCCAGGGGAATTTTATTAATGAATTAAATCTATAGCTTCCTCCATAAAGGATCAGATTTGTGGTTGCCAGAGGCAAGGAGTAAGAGAAGGGAGAATCGGATGAAGAGGGTCAAAATGTACAAACTTACAAGTTATAAGAAAAGTACTAGGAACGTAGTGTGCGTGCATTCTAAGTCATTTCAATCGTGTCCAATTCTGTGTGACCCCATGGACTGTAGCCTGCCAGGCTCCTCTGTCCATGGGGTTCTCCCAGCAAGAATACGGGAATGGGTTGCCATGTGCATTTCCTTTCCTGGGGCCAAACAAAACGGGAAACATAAGTTCTATGCCTCTTGGGATAATGAGAGTAACTAGGTGCTCACCATTTCCTGGGTTTTCAAATGTCTTTTATACTTTTTGTTTCAATTACATTACACTACTATTTAAAATAGGTATTATCTTCCACTTAACATGCGAGGAAACTGTCTCAGAAGGACTAATTTGCCTACATTTATACAACCAGAAGAGAGTAGAATCAAGATTCAAAGTTAAGGGTTGTCTAAACATCAAATGAAATTTCTACCTTCTTAGAAAAGAAAAGAAAACCAAACCAATTTCATAATGTTTCTCCTTATGCCACCTCATAAGTATAGATGATTTTATTCAGGTTTGGGGAGGAGGAGAGAGGAAGAGAAAGAAATGAGAATGTGTTTTTCCACTCAGCCAAGTCTTCATATGTATGAAGTGGATATCAAAAGATAAGGCTATGTGCTTTCAAGTTTCCACATGGAAAGAAAATTTCCTCTCTCCACACACTATACTAGTGGTTGGTTTGGACACCGGAACCAGTCAACTTGACTCTCCTACAGGCAAAAGAAGACACTTCCAAGTCCCAGATAGCTGGGTGCAGAGTTGAGGAGCTCAGGAGGGTCTCAGGCGGTTGCCAGGGGAAGACAGGGAGCCATCATTCCCTAGGGACCTAGGCTAGGGAAGCTGGAGACACAAGGGTGCAGTGCGCCACCTTGTGAGGGGGGAAGGATCTGCAAGTCGTGGAGGGAAGCTGTAACTCAGGGCCGAGCCTCCAGGGGGCGCCATGTACAATGTACTTGGAAATGGGGGCAGGGGAGGTCCTTCACTCCGGTTCCCAGAGCCAGCCCAGGGCCACAGAGAAATGACTGCAATGGGTCCTTATTGAAAATGCTATAGAACCAACGTGAAAAGTCACGAGCTTGAAGTCAGTGAACCTGTTTCTGTCACTAATTACCCAAGTGACTGACCTTGAGCAAGTCATCTAATTCCTCTGGGCCTCATCAGCAAATGAGAAAGGTTGACAGGTGATCTACAGGGGCCCCTCCAGCTCTAACTTTGTGAGTCTACCACAGGAGAAATTGCCTTCTCTCTGACCGTCTTACTGGCCTTCCAGTTTTTACCCCTTTTATATACTTGCCACCAAAATCCTCCTATGAAATAACAGCTGTGCTCTTTCCACATCTGTAATAAAGCATATACCATCCACACGTGGGCCTTGTGCTACTGTCCTTTGCCTACTGCCACGTTCATTCATTCATTCACTCAGTCATTCTTTCAAGAACTATTTATACGTATCCCCCACTGTGTGGACTTTCCTGGTGGCTCAGAAGTAAAGAATCTGCCCGCAATGTGGGAGACCTGGGTTCAGTCTCTTGGTTTGGAAGATCCCTTGGAGGAGGGCATGGCAACCCACTCCAGTATTCTTGCTTGGAGAATCCCCATGGACAGAGGAGCCTGGCATGCTACAATCCAAGGGGTTGCAGAGAGTTGGACACGACTGATTAAGCGCAGCAGAGCACCCACACATTATCCCAGGCATATGCTGTTCCCCTAGCACACAAAGCTTTTTTGAGCCTCAATGCTTTTGTTTATACTGTTCCCTTTCCTAGGATTGCCCTTCTCTCATTTTCTTCTAAGTAAGTAACTGTTAGTTGCTCAGTCATGTTTGATTCATTGTGACCCCATGGACTGTAGCCTGTCAGGCTCCTCTGTCCATGGAATTGTCCAGGCAAGAATACTGGAGTGGGTTACCATTCTCTTCTCCAGGGGATCTACCTGACCCAGGAGTCAAATCCGGGTCTTCCTTATTGTGGGCAGATTCTTCACCATCTGAGCCACCAGGGAAGCCCCATTTTCCTCTAGAGCAACTCAATCATCCCAGTGCAAAAGTCATTGCCTTTCTGGAATGTCCTGATGAGCTATCGTCTTCTGTGTCTTCTCTAAATTTCAGACTTTGATCATAGTACTTGGCACATTGTTTTGAAATTACATGTGACCACGTGTAATGAGATAATATCTTAATACACACAGACATGTACTTTTTCCCTCAATGTCCTTCACCTCTATATTTCTCTCGCCACTCAGTTGGAAGCTTTCTGAATGTATTACCCTCAGGGTAGGGCTATTACTGCCAAAATGAACAGAAAAAGGTCCATTGCACAGATAAGAGCACCTATATGGACTTGTGGGATTCACAGCAAATTCATGAAGCTGATAACTATGAGAGAAAATATTCTTTTAGATTCCAAGAGGCTGAGCACTTTAAGTACGAACATCAATGTTTATACCATAAGTAGAAGACTCCACAGCAAGAAGAAGAACCCACTTACCAGTGACTCCAGCCCCACCCCCACCTACAGACAGTAAAAGTTGCCCCCACTAAAGAGTGAAAAATGGCTTCTGGGCTCCTGCCTCTGCCCATCCTCAGACCAAGTTGCAGATGAGAATGAGAACTGATGTCCTATATCCTCTCTGGAAGGCAGCAGAATGCAGATATGCCCTGAGCAGGTGGTGTGTTTCAGTGAAGGAAGAAATGTGGTGTATCTGGGCAAGAGAGGGACCAGTGAGCCTCAGAGCAGTAGGGAGACCAGAATCTCGGAAGCTCTGTGTCCTCAAGAAACATAAGAGATGCATGAAAGATCACCAGTGACCCCAGATGCAGTGACTGCCATGGCTCTCGTGACCAAGGGGCTCTGTGGGCGGCTGCTACCAAGACGGTTGGCTGCCCACCCACCATGTGCATTTCTTACTTTTCTTCGTGTCTGCAGTGGCTTCCACAGAGACCAATGGATATTCACTTTGTAAAATAATACAGCCAGGAAGATGGAGCAGTAAAGAGTTATCAGGGAATGTGAGCTGTTTGCACCATTTTTCCTTAACTTTCCTGGTAATCCCCAAGAATCACTAATAATAGAGTAACTCTCCAAGGCATGGCAAAACAGAGAGAAGACTGATGGTTGCCAAGGGCAGAGGATGGGGGGAATGGGCAGATTTTGGGTGAAGGAAACACACTTTCAGTTAAGAGATGAATAAGTTCTGAGGATTGAGTGTACTGCCTGATGACTATACTTATTAATAACAATATTGTATTCTTGAAATTTGCTGAGAAAGTACATCTTAAATGTTCCCACCACACCCACACACACAAAAAAATACCTAGGTGAAGGGATGGAAATGTTATCAAATCTTATTGTGGTAGTACTCATCTCTCCATACATACACGTATCAAATCATTACACTGTACAACTGAAATTTACACCAGGTTACTTATCAGTTAAGTCTCAATTAAGCTAGGGGGAAGAAAACTAATATTACCAAAATCATTCACAAATAATAATAGTAATTCTGACACTAGCACTCTGATGAAACATCAAAAATAAGTGACAGCTATATAGAATTTCATAATCTTCAGGTTCACAAGGTTTGTGAATACAAGCTAAGACAGAACACAAAGATCTCAAGTGTCTTTCAACCATTAACAGTTTATTATATTATCCCTTGATATATTAATTTTTCTCCCAGAATTTTACATAGTCAATACATCATAAATACCTGGAGAGTTTCCTTACAAGTATAAATATCAGACCAACCTCATCTGTATTTAGCAATTTTAATAAACATGTGCTAGACCCTTAGCCCCACCCTTGCCACCCACCCCATCCTACACAGCCCCTCCCACACTCTCTTACATTGTGGTTACATATCTGTTGCACTTTGTGACCCAGAAGTCAGTTTTGCAAGCAGAGGCCCCACCCACTGACTGTACGACCAGGAGATGGTCATCATAGCACATAAGCAGAATGGGACCTGCATTCTCCTCCATCTATTTTTAGGGGTCATTGGAACATCTCAGGACAATATAAAAATTCTGAAGCCCCAGAAAATGGCTCTATCTAACACAAAGCCTGGAGAATCCCATGCAGATATTACGAAGAGACCTGGGAAGTGGAGGGAAATGGGAACCACGCAGGACTCATGACAGAGTGCTGGCTAAGCAGGGGCGTTTCTACAGCTTCTTCAGCTGAGCTGATCTGCCACCCTCGAGTCACCCACGTGGCGGACCATGGGGGTGACGCAGGTGCAGCCCACAGTCACCAGCACCTTTTCCAGCCGGAACAAGCCAGGACAGCCCTGTGGCTCCCTCCGGAGGACCAGGAGTTCCTGCTGGATGGGAACGGAGTTCAGGGACCAGTCTTCTTCCCCCTCGGCGTTGATGCAGCCAGTGTGTCTGCACTGGGCCTCCGCGATCTCTGAGGGGAACCGGTTGGGGTCCCGGGTGATGCTGTAGGAAGAGCAGAGAGAAGCAGATGGTGAGATCAGGCAGGAAAGATGCACAAAGGATGGGGACCCCGCAGCACTGGACGCCCACCTGCGGGAAGGCGATGCCGGGTAACACGGGGCTGCAGGGCAGGCGCAGAACACACAGCCTGGACTCAGATGCCAGCCCCTGGCGGGGTGCTTAACTCCCTAAGTCTGTGTTCCCTCAACTATAAAACATTGGCATCCATAAATATTAGATTTTTTAGTTCCTTTTTTTAAACATTTTTATTATGAGAGCCATCTTTCATCCTTTGGTTAGAGATTGAACATCACTAGGAGGTCCCCCAATATACAGTCTCCAAAGCCTGCTGCTTGGGAAAGAAAACCAAAGCCCTGGGGGTTGTGAATCCAATGCCTTCTTTCAATTTCTCCCTCCATGCCAGGAGGCATAAAGGCCAATCCAGCCTACTAGCCATAGTACATACTCCCTTTCCGAGGAAAGGAAATACATGCGGGCAGCCCCAGAAACACTTCTAATAGTCCCCAGACTCTGTTTTCATACTTATATTTAGAGCATCTAAAGGAAAGCTTGGTACTCCAAGAATCTCTGTGTAAGACAAAATCCCAAGTCTGTATCCTGAACATCCCCACCTAGCATCTTCCTTCCCCAGCTGGCCTTTCTCTTCTACTCTGCCCTCTCCACTCCTTGAAGATGGAAATCCAATCTGAGTGGCTTTCTCTGAACTGACTTTTCTGGTCCCCCCCTTATCCCCACACAGAGACCATTATGTGGGCTGCTTTAAAGAGCCCTCTCTTTCAACACAAAAAGTTTCTCAATTCCAAACCCAGGGCTGCATGAAGCAGAAAAAGGCAAAGCATCAGGAGAGGTTAGAGGCAAAACAGGCTTTTGAGCACATAGGAGGACTTAGTCCAAAATAGCAAGAAAAGGGGAGCTCCCAGGAAGAGTGGGATTTCTGCTTTTAAGAGTCAATGTAAGGACTGTTATTTTTTCTGTATTTTTGAACTTTTTTGCTGTATGGTTAGAATAAATTAACATATTTTCCCAAAGAACGTGGCAATCAGTCTCCTCGGCACGTACTTGTAATCCCAGGGGGAGATGGAGCGGTTCTGCAAGTTGTATGAGGGGAGACCTCCCTGGCTCTGCCTGCGGATGCGGATGTCAACCCTCACAGTGTGGTCTTCCAGAGGAGGGCAGAGGCCAGGATCCCCAGATTTGGGGGGTTTCCGAGCTGCCGCCTCCCCCAGGAGGGTGAGTCCCAATATCAGCAGCAGCAGGGACTTGACCTGGAAGTAGATGAGAATGAGGTTGGTTAGGGACTTTATGGTCACTTGCTGACAAGAGACAGGTCATGCTTCAGCTGAACTCAGCATCCCTGGAACAGGATCAGGGCTCCTCTCTGAACCTCAGATTGTCTCCTGGCAATGGGAACAGTCAGACATGAAGATTCCAGGGTACCAACCTGAGAATTTAGCCTGGTGAATGCACCCTCCACAGTTTGAGAGCTTTTGAACAGGGAGACGCGAGGATATCAGGATCTGAGACTGGGTTTAAATCCTGACCTGGTTCTCTCACTGAGCCTCTGCTTTCTCTTCTTTCCAGCCAGAGCATAACACTTGCTTTATAATAATATTTACAAGATTAAATAAAATGTTCTTTGTAATGCAGTTATAATAAAAAATAGAGCCTTAAGAAATGATAGCTCTTCATTTCCAACCTCACATCCATAAATCCTCCACAAAACCCTTTGTCCCAACCATTCCTGTCCCCACAGCCCCAGCCATCTAAATTTCCCCCTTCCATCAAGGACCCACTCAGAAGTGGTCTCCAGGAACTGTCCCAAAAGTAGTTCAATTAGAAGTATGTTAATTGCCCTCAAATGATAAAGCTTTTACCATCTAGCACTCAAGCAGCCCTTCTTTATTGTCTGGACATCTAGTATTTATGTTCATACACATCTTCACCTATTAAACAGTAAGTTCCTGCAGGAGAATATGTCATGGAACAGGTGTTTCAAAATACCTTCTGGATGAATGAAAGATCTGGTAGACGGATGAATGAGCAAAACAATTCATTTAAATTACCAACATAGTTAAGCTCAACGCATTAAGAAAAACACCGTGCAAAACCAAATATAGCAGAGTTCCCATGATCCATGCCAACTGAAGGAAGCAGGGGCACTAAGGACATACAACAGAGAAATAAACACGCTTCTCTTTAGCTCCAGAACATTTATTTTTTATACTTACTTTGAAACATTGATTTATCTGGCATTACAGGAATGCACAAAGAAAGCGCTTTGTGAAAATCTAACTAAAAGAGCTAAAAATTTCTCCAGCTTCCCTTTCTCAGAACCCCATGGTGACCACCGACCCTCACTGGGGATGGACAAGGCTCATCAATGACTCTCAACATAATGAAAGTGAATTGCTTTCATCCTCGGGGCTCCATGTTGGTCAGATTCACACCTTCCGTGAGTCAGGGTTGGGAAGCTGCCTAAATGTGTTGGTTTAAATTGCCTTCAATTTTTATCTTTTGCAGATGCTGGAGGCAAGAAATGATAAGAGTAAACCAAAAGGTCATGATGCCAAGTGCTGTACTAAGGTAACTGATACTGAAAAAACCTGTAAAGCAATATTGACCCAGATAAGCCCGAATGGGCCTAATTTGCCTCCAGATAATCAGCAGATGTCTACTTTCATCTCCCATAATCATTCATTCATTCAACAACTCTTTCTTGTCTCTGGAGTGTGGTGATAAAGGACATGAGCTCTGGAATCAGAAGTCCTGGGTCCACAACCTAGTTCCAGGACTCTCACTAGCTGCAACTCAGGTTCCTCCCCCAGAAAATGTGGCGATTAAATGACAGGATCCATATAAAGCATGAAGAGCAGGGTCGGGACGTGGAGAGTATTCAGTACAGGAGCTACTGTTAGTTGACCTTTCCCTAAAGATAGGAAAGATATGGAATTTGCCCTCCTGTACCTTCTGTCTACACAAAGCACGATGATCCCGTATTGCAGGACCTCAGTTCCCCAACCAGGGACTGAACCAGAGGTCACGGCAGTGAAAGCCAGGAATCCTAACCACTAGGTCACCAGGAAGCACTGTTAAGTTTTAGAAAGTAAAAGGAAACCTGCTTGGACAAGAGGGTCCTTAGCTTTCCAAGCATCACTTCCTTAAATTTCTTAAGTAAATCCCTCTTTTATGTCTCCTCTTTCATTTTTTTGTGTCGTATTCACTGACTCATTTCCAATTTTCATTATTGACACTTTAGAGTAAGTGTACCTTGGCGTTACCAGGTTTATCAATGATTACCAAATATAATAATGAATTATAATTCTAATAAGTCATTATTATATTTGCTTGTATCTTTAGAGTATTATAGAAAAAACTTTCACATCTCTGTAATCTCTAGATTCTCACACCTACCTTGAAGGATAGGTAGAGCTCATATTAGTTACCCCAATAAGGCAGGTGAAGAAGCTCTGTCTGATGCTCTCCAGCCTGCTAGTGGCAGCCTGAGGACTCAGACAAGGTGTCTGTGGTCAGTGCTGCCACAACCCCTGAAGCTCCTTACTGTTGTCATCAACACAGAGTCACCCACAGTGTTTCATCTCAGCTTTGTCTCACTAGAGGAGCCAGGCATTTTAAGCCATGTGACAGCCGTGTCAGAACTGCATCAGTGTCGTAGGTCATGTAGCTTTTTAATCAGAAATCAGATGAAATCTGCAAATCACTCTCGTGTGCTGCATGAAGCTGTTGATCTGAAATTGTAGATTTCAGTGGTTATGAAACACAGACCAGGGGCTGGATAAAATTCGTGCTGGTTCTTAAGAATGATACACAGAAGCGCACTTCTCTGAGAGGCTCAGATTATTTTAGTCCCAGATTCTTCTGTGCTGGCTTTCCTGGGGGCTCAGTGGTAAAGAATCCACCTGCCAATCCAGGAGATGCGGCTTCTGTTCCTGGGTGGGGAAGATCCCCCGGAGAAGGAAATGGCAACCCACTCCAGTATTCTTGCCTGGAAAACTCCATGGACAGAGGAGCCAGCAGGCTACAGTTAATAGGGTTGCAAAACAGTCGGACAACAATTCTTCCATGCCATCTATGAGGCAGGCAAATGGACATCACGCCTTCTCTGTCTCATAGGAAACAGAGGTAAGAGAAAGCACCAGCGGAAGGTGGGCACTGTCAGGACACCGACATGCTCAGCTTAACCCTGTACTTACTCTACTATGAACTCCCCTAGGAGAAAATCTGAACACTTGTCTCTTGAGATCACCTGTGATTCGTGCTCACCCCCACGTAGAGATGTGCTCCAGAACCCAGCCAGCTCCTAGTCCATGAGATTTGCCTCGCTTTCTATTGAGGATGTCCCATGTGCCTGCGCCTCCAATTTCTAATACTATTCTAAGGTCCTTTGCCCTGTCATATTTCTTGCTGACAGTCCAACAGATTTCCTCAGAGAAACCAGAAATAGACATGGCTTTAGAACACAAAACTACCAAAAATTTGTTTAAACACAATGGCTTTAAGTTCAGAAATCTTGCTTCTAAACCATTCAAGGGCAGAATGTTGTACTTGAAGTCATAAACCTAGACTCATGTCCCTTTTCTTGGGCATACAGCATCTGATGATGTTAAATCACTTAAATTCATTGAACTGTTGTTAATCTGTACAATGGAGAAAGCAGTCCCACTTCGCTACATTAAGTTGGTGGGAGATTCAGAGGTAAAAATAATCACATAATTAGTATTAGTATTTAATACTCTAATTTGAAAAGATACACACACCCTAATGTTTATAGGGGCACGGTTTCCAATAGCTGAAATACAGAAGCAATCTCAGTGTCCATCGACAGACAAATGGAAAAAGGAGATGTGATACTTATATACAAGGGCTATTACACAGCCATAAAAAAAGAATGAAATAATGCCATTTGCAGCAATATGGATGAACCTAGAGATTATCACACTAAGTGAAGTAAGCCAGAAAGAGAAAGATAAATGTATGATATCCCTTGTATGTGTAATCTAAACTATGATACAAATGAGCTTATTTACAAAACAGAAACAGACTTGCAGACATATAGAACAAACGGATGGTTACCAAAGGGGAAGAGGGGTGGGGGGAAAGATAAATTAGGAGTTTGGGATTAATATATGTACACTATTACATATAAAATAGATAATCAACAAAGACCTACTGTTAGCACATGAAACTGTATTCAATATCCTATAATAAACCATAATGGAAATGATGATCTATTTATTCTGTTATACATAACTGAATCACTTTGCTATATACCAGAAACTAATACGACATTGCAAATCAATTTTACTTCTATTTGGAAAAAAAATACTCACTGAATTCTTTCTCTGTCCTTATTGTTCATTATATTAAGTGGCCAAGTTAACTAGAAGCTATGCCTGCAGAGATCTGCTATTTTAGAGTATAGGTTTTATCACTCTCAATGATATCAGTTAATCCTCCATGAGGAAGATGACAGGATAATAAGTCACAGAGGAATAACAAGGCACAGAGAGCTTAGGTAACTTATCCCATATCCCACATTTAGTAAGTGGTGAAACCAGGTCCCTCCCCCAGGAACTGTCCAAGTGCATTGCTAGGTGGTTTCACTCCCTGCATCCAGAGGCACTCCTTGTCTGCCAGCCATCTTGGGAGAATCATCACCCCTCTCAGGGCCCCAGCTTCCTTGGTTAAAATAAATCTGTATAGATCCTAAAAGGCTGGCTAAGCTTCCCCAGGAGGTAGGGCCAACTTAACTCTATAAGCAAAGACCAAGTCCAGTTGGTGATGCCAAGAATTTCACAAACTAATGCCAACCATGCCAAAGCCGTTGGTAAAGAGCTATGGTTTTCACCCCACTATAACTTCTTGCTACTTTTTCTTTTTCTCCAACAGACCAGGGTCAGTATTAAAGTCAGCTCTGTGTTTTAAAGAAATGAAACCCCAAAAGACCCCAATCCAGCCTCATTCCTTAGAAACCTGCTCTCCTGAAATCCTAGGGCTAACTGCACCCGCACAGGGGTGATGCTGACCACTCACCACGGCTGTGTCACACGGGACAGTCATTGTCACTTTGCTCTGGTCGCTTGCGTAGTGCAGGAAACTCCTTCTGAGTGTCACTTTGTGTGTGCCAATGTGGCATCAGCGAGGGTACCTGTCAGTTTTATAGCAATCTCTGTCCTTGTTTCAAGTGACCTGCTTACTGCCTAAGTTGTGGTTGCCCCAGAGAAATTGATGAATGTAGTGTTTTTTTGTTTTTTCCTATTCCACTTCCTGAAGGGGAGTCGAAGGGGAGTCTCTTGAGAAAGAGATGACGAAGAAAGGACCAAATCTTCCTCTCCTTTTGCCCCACCCCCACACTCACTGCCCTCAGTTCAGTTCAGTTCATTGCCTTCACACTGTAGCAAATCTCTTAACTGATGTACTACGGAGATGAACTAAATGACAAACTACTGTCATGAGTTTTCATGTTCTTCCCCAAAATGGCTAAGAACCTAGTCACGCACCTTCTGTTCTACTTTCCAGTCATGCAATGTGAACCGTGATTTAAGTGGACGAGTCATCCTTCGAGGAGACGCAGTATCAGACTATCTTTAGCTCCACTTTATGAATGGAAAAACAAAACCAACGAAATGAGTGGCATCAGTGAGAGAGTCAGAGTTGATATCCCCAGGCAGTTAGTTTCATGGTTTCCCTGAAGTAATTCTGTTTTAACCCCATGGTTAGACTCTTACTGGTGTTTAATAGACCGATAATCATTATTCACAGGACATAAAAACAACCGTTGCCTTGGCTCTCTCTGACTGAACATGACTTGATTCTTTTAACCAAAATGGACTAGCAAGTAGAGTCTTTAAGTCTCTGATGTGTTATTTTAGATGACCTGCAAAAAATTAATTTAGTTCAGCACTGGTCAACATTTATTAAGAACATGCTGTATGCTGGGCAATATAGCCTAAGAATACACAGACATTTCTGAAATAGCAATAACTTACTTTTTTAAATGTCCATTCGACTTAGTCACTCAGTCATGTTTGACTTTTTGTGACCCTTTGGACTGTAGCCCAGTCCATTTATAGTATAAGCCCTTCTTATACTATAAATCATGGACTAACACTGGGGACACATGATGAATATATGATGAACACACAGCTGATTATAGTGGAAGCTTTTCACTAACTGGCCCTGTACCACCCATGGCCCAAGCTATTACCAACTTCTAAGTTTCAGTAATTCATGTGAAGCTGTCAACACACCGACTGAAGGAAAGCTACACGGCTCAAAACAGCCTGGAGTTAAAACTCCCCTCCAGGTCCTCCCCACCATTCTATACAGAATAAAGAACTTTCTCCCCCGAAGAAAGGAGTGGACATTAAGACTGATTCCATTCAGCTCCCAGCCGGTCCCAGTTTCCGGCCAGTCTCAGGAATTCCTTACCCCAGTTGTTGAAAGCTAACCAATCAAAAATAATCATGAGGAAAAACAGACCCCCTCAAAATGATACATCTCCACACATACATGTTTTCTCTATATACCTCTCTTCTTAGCGCCACAGCGCACTAATCTGACTGCTGCCCCTTCTCGCCTCATTCAAGGTGATCTATTCCTGTAAAGTGTCCGTCTCATGTTTCTTTTTTTCTCGAACCTCACCTTCTCTAACTCCCTCACCTTACGTTTTTCGGTGCCGAAACCCGGGAGGTTGAGGTTCCCTCTCGTTCTCCACGGCCAGCTCTTCGGAGCGTGGAAGCCTGCCGGGCTCCCTTTCCCGCCTGGGCTTTCAAGACCTGCTGGAGAGGACGCCCTGTGCCTGCGTGAGCGGCACAAGCCCCGTGTGAGGGCTTCATGGGTTTTTCACGTACCCCGAGGAATACTGGCCTCCTTCTCTCTCTTCCTCTTTTCTCTACACTCTCTTTTTCACGAGACCGACCAACTCCAGGACAGAGGCCTTTTACCATTCAACCTCCCCCCATCCACCACGAATTCTCGCCTGACCCAGTAGCCCACGTAAGCTCGGACGGTTCTCTAGGGCGCCCTAGACTATCGTCCTTTCCGGGTTCCCGGGGAACCCTCCGGCCTAAAGGCCCTCTGGGGAGGAACTTGGGGCTTGCCCCTCCCTCCTTCAGAGTCTCTCTCTCCCTTTTCCTGGCCGAAGGATTAGGTGACGACCTTTTCTCTCGACCGGACAGTCGCTAGCCATTTGCTACGGGGTCAAACCAATCCGTCCCACAGACTCTCCCTTGGCCTGCATAAAATGAAACCTCAAACCGCTGCTCTTGACCGATCTCAAGGTTCATAAACTGGACTCACATTTGGCCTCAATACAAATGGGGTAACCAAAACTGCTGGCCTGAGTTTGGGACTTTCAATTACAATATTTTATCAGATCTCACTAACTTCCTTGAATGGAATGGCAAATGATCAGAGGTCCCCTATATTCAAGCCTTCTCGGACCTTAGAAGCCGTCCTTCTCTCTGCAAGGACTGTTCTACCTATCAAATCCTCCTCTGTTCTCTGTCCCCCTCCATTACAAAAGAATCCAAATCTAAAGCCTCTAAAAGGCCCCCTAAACCCTCAGCCCCCGATTTCAACCCTGCAGATGAGCCTCCTCCCTACAGTCCCAGAGATGAGGCTTCCGGAGACAAGACCCCACCCTCTAGCCCTTCCTCCTCCAAATCGGGAAGCGATGACCCCAAAACTCCAAAAGAGATTTCCAACCCCCTCCATCAACCAGGACCTGAAGCAAACATGTGTTTCCTCTCAAGGAGGTAGTGGGACCAGAGGTCCCTAAACAGGTTCATGTGCCTTTCACAACTTCTGATATGAGCCAGATTGGAGAAAAATTGGAATCTTTTTCAGCAAATCCTACTAGATACAGGAAGGAATTTCTCCGCCTTACACAAGCATATCATTTAACCTGGAAAGATCTTTATTACATCCTAAATGCCACTTTAACCCCTGATGAAAAGGAATGGATATGGCAGGCAACCCGAGTTCATGCTGATCAGCTCCATAACCAAGATAGGATTAGTCCAGTGGCTGATGACGCAGTTCCTTTAACTGAGCCACGGTGGACACATCAAACCGGCAATGCTGGCCTCCAGTACCTACATCGTATGATCACCTGTTTACTGGAAGGAATGCTAAACAGCTCTCACATTCATGCTAACTACGATAGGATTAGGGAAATGACTCAAGAAAAGGATGAAAATCCTGCCCTTTTTCTTTCACGGCTTACTGAGGCAGTCCAGAAATGCACAAACCTAGATGTTTCCACCCCCGCCGGACTCCTATACCTACACGTCCAGTTCATAAGTCAGTCAGCCCCCAATTTTCACCAAAAACTACGCCAGTTAGAAAAGGGCCCTGAGGCAGGGGGGATCGGGATGGGGAACACATGTAAATCCATGGCTGATTCATGTCAATGTATGGCAAAAATCACTACAATATTGTAAAGTAATTAGCCTCCAACTAATAAAAATAAATGGAAAAAATAAAAAATAAAAAAGTTTTCAGTGATAGGGAGGAAGAAGCGAAAAAGGAAAAAGAAAAGGAAAGAAAGGCCAAATATGCTTTATTCTCTGCAGCTTTCCAAGAAAAAAATTCAACCCCTCTGGCCCACCAACTTCAACCCACCCCTATGGGACCTAACCCTTCAGGCCCCTGCTTCATATGTAACCAAACGGGGCTAAGTCCTGCCCAAACCCCCAGCCACCCACCAAACCCTGCCCCACCTGCAAACAATGGGGCCACTGGAAAATGGATTGCCCTCAGACACTACCCACCAAATCTCGGGGTCCACCCCAGGCCCAACAACAATGGGTCAGGGGCCAGTCTCTGGGGGGGCCCTAGCACCCCAGACCATGGCTCCTCAGATGAGATGGGAATTGACCCAATTATGCCTCAGTTATTCCAGTGATGGAGCCCAAACTCCAGACCCCAAGTCCGTCCCATACAGATGGTCTCAGAGCTTCAGGTAATTGGCACAGTGGCCAAACACAAAGTCTCATTCCTAACAGACACTGGAGCGGCCTTTTCACTTTTAACCTCCTTTAAGGGCCCTCTCCAGCCTTCAGAAGTGGCCATTGGAGGGGTCTGAGGCATCACTTTTTATCCCCAAATAACCCCTCCTCTCCTTTGTTCCTTTGGCAAAACAACACTAACACATTCTTTTATAGTAGTTCCTCAATGCCCAGTGGTATTGATGGGACATGATCTTCTGGCTAAGCTACAAATTTCTATAAATCTCCCATTCTTAGATCCCGTATCAGTTCTTTACATCCAAATGGCACCTGAACCCATGGCCAGCCCTCACTCCAAAACCTGCCCCCTGATCTTCCCCTGATAGATCCTCGGGTTTGGGACACCAAAGCCCCATCAGTAGCTCGACACCGTTCCCCCATACAGGTTTTTCTTAACAATCCCTCTCAGGTCATAATTCAAACTCAGTACACCCTGACCAGAGAATCCCGTCAAGGATTTAAACCAGTAGTCTCCGGAGTGCTCAAAGCTGGCCTTTTGCAGCCTATCTGTTCTCCTCATAATACTCCTATACTGGCAGTCAAAAAGGGACCCCACTCCTGGCATCTAGTTCAAGATCTTCGCAAGATCAATGAGGCCACTAACCCCTACACCCTTCTCTCGTTTAGTCCCCCTGATATACTCTACTTCACAGATTTAGACCTCAGAGATGCTTTCTTTACTATACCTCCACACCACTCTTCACAGCCCCTATTTGCATTCACCTGGACGGACCCAGACACATATCAATCTCAGCTATTAACTTGGACTGTTTTACCACAAGGGTTTAGAGATAGCCCTCATTTTTTCGTCAAGCCCTCCAAAGAGACCTACAAACTTTAGACTTAGGCTCTACTACCTTACTCCAATACGTAGACGATTTCTTGTTATGTAGTTCCTCTCGCTGTAACTGCCTAGTCCACGCTATTACAGTATTAAATGCCCTAGGCAACTGGGGCTACAGAGTCTCACTCTCCAAAGCACAAATTGCTTCCAACACTCAGTTACATGGGATTGCTTCACAATCCCACATCCAAAAGAATTACAGC